AGTTGATAAGTAGAATTTGAAACTAAATTTGACTTGTTATCAGTTAAATTAAGAGGTATGAAGGGTTAGAATTGAAATTAGAACATGTTGAAAAATTGGTAGGATTCTTGATTTCAATATATAGGATGGGATTTTGAAGATAAGGATGTGTTAAATGAATAGAAATTAGTTTGAGTATATGTACCTGAGTTAAGAGTAGGATAGAGAATAAAACAGGAAGGAATTGAACTGATATGGATAAATTTTCGGGTTTAAAAAGTGAATTATGGGTTAGGAGTATCAGTAATGCTTCATCCAGTACCGATACTTCAAGAGTAAAAGAGTGATAATTGGTATAGGGGTATCTATACTGGTTGAACAATATCGATACCATAAGCCTGAATTTGTCAAAGGCATTAATGGGGTATCGATATTTGGAAGGTATCGATACTAAGAGTACCGATACCATAAGGTCAGTTTCAGAACCATTTTTGAAATGAGGATTATAGAATGCAATATGGGTATCGATACGCAGTCTTGGTATCGATACCACAGCTAGGAAAGTATTAATACCCTACATGGGGTACCGAAACTACTCCAAGTAGAAAATGAAATTTAACATTTCTTTTAGCCTAAGAAATTAAGGATAAAATTATAATACTTGGAATGTATGATTGTGTAGATATCGAGCACAAGCGAGTTCTGAAACAACCGAAAAGTTAGAATCGATCAATAAAGAGAAATCAAGTCATAGAAGTTATTGAGATCAAGTGAGGCTAAGGTGAGTGCATAGTGTGTAGATCAATGGAAATAAGACTTGTAATAAGTCTATTTCCTATTTTAGTTCATGGTCCAATAGTTATGAACATGTATATAAAATATATGATCATTATAAACCCATGCATGAGTTATATATATTTATATGATTTGATACATGCTATATGATTCATGTGAACATACTCAAATAATATATGTTATATGATATGAGATTAATGGTCATATGTACATGTGATATGTGACAAAAGATAAGAAATATGTGATTGTAAGAGAAATAACAGGAGTACATGAATATGTGGTGAAGTTATGGTTATATGAATGTATGAAATGTAATGATAATGCCCCTGTTATATGATATGAGAGCTATAGGTATAGTTGGCATGCCAAGAGTTGAGGGTTATATAGGTCCTTCAGGACATATACACAGGTCCTTCGGGACATATACATAAGTCCTTCGGGACATATTTCACATTCCACTCAGTGGATCTTTATACTAGCTGTGGTGACAGCATATGTGCACAACCTCAATGTACTCACATACCTTAAGTTCTCAGTACCGTACATGGGCCTATAAAAGATATAAAAGTATTTACATGATTATATGTTAACATGTTATTATTGTTTACAATGATTCACATGTGATATGATGGAACAATGATATGATAGTTATGATGTTGTTTGAATAATTACATGGCATGTTCATACTTATAGGAAATGCATTATTATATTGTTTTATGCCTCACTAAGTCTATGACTTAGCATATAAGTGTTTTACACGTAAGTTTGGAGAAGAAAGAGGACCAGACTTAGGATCTGCAAAGCAATATATCTCCACTCGAAGATCAGATCAAAAGTATTTTACACAGTATGTTTTGTTTATGTAATAAATATTTTTGTTTATGTAATAAATATTTTTGTTTATGTAATAAATATGTTGGCATGTAAACAGAGTCGTAAAGTACGTATGCTCTAATCAATTTTGTAATGTTTTAAACTTACTTATGTAAATTGTTAACTTTATGTTAATGAAAGTTTAAATTTTCTATGATTTTTATGAATTTAACGTTTTGAATAGTCGATATGACACCTCAGATTTGTATCCAGGTCAGGCACGAGTTGGGGGTGTTACAAAATGAATCAGGATCGATTTGCTTCTCTTGTCTTCAAGAAGATCGAATATGAAAATCAAACATTACCAATCATTATTGTATGTTTGAGAATTTGAAAACATCATACTTGAAAGTTTAGAATTTGAGAGAATCTTTGAGAATCCATTTCTCATGTGGGAGCTTGTCTCGCAGCCACTAGATATGGGAATCTGCCTTGACTCGAGTGCCATTTGAACATGTCCCTTCTTGGGACTTTGGATTGGTTGATGACTTCTGCTGGTCATAAATCTTTTAGTTTTCTTGAAAAACCTATAAAATATTCATCTTGAAAGTGCAACGAATCTAAACAAAGAATGCAGTGATGCAATTCATTTATCATTAATCTTTTGAGAAAGTGAAAGAGGTCTTTAAGAAAGACTAAATTAAAATTTTCATGTAAGTGCCCCAGAATAGACAAAGTTAATTTCTAGAGTCTTTTGGAAGACAAGGTTGAGGTTTCTAGGGAAAAGATCTCAAGAAAGACTAAAGTGAACTTTCAAGGACACAAGTCCTAAGAGAGTCAAGATTGAAGACAACATTACAGAAAGATTGACTCCTCTATACGAGAAAATGAAATTGAGGAAATATACTACTAAGAAGTTGACTCCTTTCAGCGAGAAAGTCAAGTTGAGAATGTCATCACTAAAAGATTAACTCCTCTTCGCGAGAAAGTCAAGAAGTCAACACTAAAAGATTGACTCATCTTTATGAGAAATTTAAGGTGGACAACACTAAAATATTGACTCATATTCGTAAGAAAGTCAAGAAGGACAACACTAAAAGATTGATTTCTCTTCACGAGAAAGTTAAGAAGGATAACACTGAAATATTGAGTCCTCTTCACGATAAAATCAAGAATGACAATACTGAGATATTGACTTCTCTTCATGAGGAAGTCAAGAATAACAAAGATCGACTTCTCTTCGTGAGGAAGTCAATAATGACATTGGAAGATTGACTCCTCTTCACGAGGGAGTCAAGTTGAAGCTTCAAGGGAAAAAGACTTTTAGTATGACAAGATTGAGTTTTCTAAGAGACATGCTCTAAGAAGGCCACAATTAAAATTTCTAGGGAAACCAACTTAAGAGAGACAAAAATTTCTCAAAACAGATTTTATAGACATTATTATGTGGAAGATCAATATTTATCATGTGTGTATGAAATGATGTATGATGCAATGACACAAATTCATGTATTATGTATGAATGCATGTTTTCTTGATCTGTGGTAGAGAATGCTACAAGAGCGATATCCATTCTCTTCCTGATTAAGTCATATTCTCTTTTGTTTGCATCACCGTGCACTCTTACAATTCTTGAGTTGTGTCAACTTCTTCTTACCCCCAACAAATTTTTGTCTCTGATAAGATTGCCTTTCTTTGCTTGAACTTGTGTAGAAATCCAATATAGCTTTTATCTTTGGAAAGCGGATTTACCATCTTTGCACACTGTGTATGTGACTATGTCAAACTCGACAAAGATCAACGGGAGAGCAGCGTATGTTCTAATTTGACTCTTAAAACACATCAAATGGAGGGTCTATCCTATTTTTATTTATGTCTCTACATCTAATCGGATCTCAAACAAAGCTATTTATACTACATCATGTCGAGACGTTTAACATTAACCCATTGTTCAACCTTAGTTGGGTCTACTAGTTTCTTGCTGTTAAAATTCTATCGCCCTTTCCGTGAAAAAAAATCTCCACCATTCCTCTCTTTTAACCTCAGGGGTTGTAAAAGACAACCTTCATCTTGGTTAATAGAAACACCACATGATCGTAACATTGGTTCAGCTCCATAATCACTGGTTCATAAAACATTCATCAACTCATTCATAATTTCTTGTAGCTTCTGCCTAGATTTTTCAAACAGGAAAGCTCTTTGCATGGTGTTCATAGCTTTTGTATAGCGTTACAAAGACACCAAAGAACAAAACTCAGTGGGAGGCTTTGGCTTGACAACATTCATGCATGGGAAATCACCTAAATAATGCAACTGTATGTTGTGATGGTGGACAAAATGATCATATATAGTAAACTTCATTGTCCTTGTTTCACCATTTTTACTCTTCACACCTTTCTGTCCCATTGAAAAATACATGTTTGTTCAACTAAATGATTTTGTATTCCTAGATGATATGTGCCTTCAAACAATGCCCCAACATTTATCATTTATTGCTGATATGCCTTCAAAATTGCCCCAATATCTATTATTTCTTAATGATATGGGCTTTAAAAAATACCCTAACATTCCAAGTTGTAAGGCTCATTCTCAACTTTTGTTTGATTTGGATCTTATGATCCCCGCGAAGTCTGGTTTTGGTAATGCCCCAAGGTGGGTATTTATGGCTTCTCCCTATTTGGGAGCCAAAATTCATCATTGACTAGTCACATTCTTGCATTTTTACTATGCACTAGTATATGTAACCCTTCAAATAAGGCGATCATCTGCTTCTCGACAGGTTACCGACAACGTCAAAAGGAAGTGCTACGAGTTCTATCCTTCAGTCCTTATGATCTCTCAGACTATTTTATTCTAGCATCATTTATTCTATTTTTCCAATAGAGGTAGAATGGGCCTCACCTACTTCAAGAACTACTTCAAGGACCTTTTGCATTTGAGATTGTCATGTTTGAAAATATTTTTCTCTCTTCTTTTATTTTAAAAAATTAAAGAATGAAAGAATTTGTAAAGTATTACTCCTTAATTCATGCTCACAATTGAAGTAAATAATGAATATGAGTTCACAAAATATCAAAAGAATCAACAACTTTTTTAATGCTTTCAAAGTTATAGCTCTTCGACAAATGTCAAAATTGATGGGTTAGCTTCAGGTTGGCTTCCTCTTTTCCAAGGTTTTAATCATCGAAGATGCCATTTTTTTCTCGGTCCTTGTGAACATTATAACATGCCCCTCTTTCTTGGCTTGGTATTTTATTCGAACGTGGACAAAATGACGCAACTAGTATATTCAATTACTAGATTTTCTAGAACACTTCTATTTCAGTTCTATGAAATCTTCCATTTGTTCAAGCTTCGCAGACTTCCTTAGCAGAGGTAGTGCAGAGACATCATTCTAAATATAAAATCCTGAGTGCTTGTGTGAGGTCGACTATAACAAGTGTTCCTCAACTCCCTTAGTCTATTTTACTGAAACTCGTTATTAGATAAATTTGATTTAATTTTCCATTATTTAGCTAGTTGAATTCAACTTTATTGTACTTTCCTTTATCGAGCTAGCTGAAGGGTTCATCTCATCATAAAGTCTTCAACTTGACAATTGCAGTGGAGCAAACACCGAACTGCCAAGTACGCGAGCAATTTCATGGTTTGAATGTAATATATTCATAAAGTTTGGGCTTTTAAGTTTCCTCTATAACCAATTGCTTTAGTGGAATAACTCAGCTTTATTGTATAATCTATTATAATAATAAATCTATTAACCTTTTGACTATTCAGATTAGAATTTCTTAATCTCATCAAAAAGAATCTATTATAGTCTATGTGTCTTTGATGGTCAGACAATCCCATATTTAGAGTTCAATTCCCAAACAATTGACTATATTAAATCCATTTACTCCACAATTTCATTTGTGAAGATTGGGATCATCACTGAACATCTTTAACAGAAATGTAGTTTAGTCAATTTTGCAATGTCATACACAAGAGATGCCCCATGTTGTCCGCTCCTATGCTTATCTGAATAACAAGCCTCTTGTTCATTTTCTCATGAGATGATAAGGTTATATTGGTCTCTACAAGAGAATGGTATGGTGTTCGAGTTTGTCTTCTGGGGTAAGGTCAAGGATTACAAATTTGATTTAATGCTCATCATCTTTAAAGTATCACAAATTTAGTTAAACATCCTTAAAAAACTAAGAAAGAACAAAAACAAATTCAAACAAGATGCTGCAAATGGAATAAAGCTCCATGATGAATGAAATGATCCATTCCTAATTAAGATGCCCCTTTACTCATAAGATATATGGGTTGTTGACTGGATCTTCAGGGTTATTACAATCTAATGCCCCATTTACTCATTAAAAGAACCATGCCTTTGAATCGATCAGATTATTATATAACTTGCTCTTTGGTATCTCACAGTTCTTAATGGTATGCCCCAAGCTTCATATCTTTGGCTCTCCAATCTTCTCTAGGCACGAATGTGATGGCCCCAATTTACTTTCAATATTTCTATCACAAGATTCTCCTCGAGTTACCACCAGGATCTCTGATTAATGCATGTTAATATTCAATGTAGATTATGTAATGTATGATGTATAGACGTGAATGTAAGGAGGTAAAATGCACATACGAATGTGAAAATACAGAAATAAGAATGCAAAATGTGCGATGCAAATGCATGTATGCAAAAGGTGTCATTCTAGAGTGACCATCTTAAAACAACTTTCATTGAACACAAAGGCTTCGGTACATTAAATAAACTTTACATATAAGGGATAACTTTAACTCTTAACTTCTCTATCTCTCTCAAAAGCCAAATTAACTTCCACTCATGCTCGGGTGTTGAGTTATCCATCTACTTCAATTCTCTTGCAAAGCCAGCTAAATCAACTAACTTGTGAGCCACATTGCTTGCTTGTATCTGCTTCTTTTATGTTGTCATTTTCTTCTATCTTATGTGACAATTCTCGGAGCAGTAAACAAAGTTGTTCATTTTTCCTCATAAGAAAGTCTTTGTTCTTATGAAGCATCTATAATCCTCATCAATGTCTTATTCTTAGATCTAGTGGCTTTTAGCTCGGTATTATTCTCACTCTGGTGACGCTAGTATAAAGCTTTCATATTGGCTATGAACACATTCAACATATGATTTTCGACTTGGCATATTTCCAAGTCATCTATGGTTGTATTACGTCTTCTTTTCACAATCTGTAAATCATGAGAGGACTTCTTGGCTCGACTTTCATGCATCTTTCTATTCTTTCTCCATTGTTCAACATCGTTTTCCGTTCAGTGATACCTATTGTTTACTCCTCAAGGGACACACTTGAGCTTCATACCTTAGCAATCTTTCTTCCTTATGGATGCCCCTATTGGTATCCTTACCTTTGAACACTTTTGGCTCTAACCTAACAGGAAAATCAGTTACCAAACTAGGTCGACCTTTCATATCGAACTCCATGATCTAAAAGGTGTTGGATTCGATGTTTGAAGGCAGTGAAATTCTCAATGACATGTCTTTAACCTCCTTAAGTCTTCAGGTTTACTTCTCTTGACATTGGGAGCAGACTCTCAAATGACCACGAGTTCTGATTACAATGCTTCTTTTCATCTTTATGAACTTCTACAGTTGCCACCATTTTCTTGGGGTCTCCAGACAACTTGTTAGTGATTGTTCGTGATTTCTCAGACAGACTAGGATTAACTTGCTCTAATGTAGTCCCTTGTGCATTTGACATCGCATGATTATTTTCATCGAGCTCTTTATTTTCTTTTGCAATAGTCTCTTTTCCTTTGGCCAAAGTAGTTATTCTATCCATCATCTTGGACATTTGCTCTCTCATCTCTCTTATCTCCTCTTGTTCTACGTCAGACACACGATCCTCATACGTATAGCTCTCCATTATCCTCGGAGTTTCCTCAAGATGTCATTCATTAGCTGTGTTATAGTTTACTTTATCATGAAAACCTTTGTCTATCATGAAAACTTTTTACTCTGATGACCACTCACAAATCAACACCTTTGAAAAAATTTTAAGATCATGCGATGCAAGCAGAAAGAAAAGTAACACAAAAAATAAGTTAGTACAAATAAGATAACAAAGTGACAAGAATTATTATAAAAACAATAATAACAAAATAAATATATCAATAAGCTAATGTAAAACAAGAATGCAAATGCAAATGCACAAGGTGTTAACTCCAAAAGTGACCACCATAGAACAATCTTCATCAGACCATAAGATTTCCTTATACTAGACAAACAAACTTCATTTTCTTCATTTATTGCGATAGTTGGATCTCTAAACCTCTATTTCTATGGGATTAATCGCGAGGAAAGCGACCTTGATATCTCATGAAGGGTCTTTTCATTCTTAACTCAACTAGAATTTGACTATTTGATACCCTCTCGATCTTTGTTTAATGAGAGTCTTTGATCTATCTTTGAGCTTTTCTCTCATCTATTAACTTTGTTTGTAAGTCATCACTCTTATGGATTTGACTATCTAGTTATGGAACTCTTATGTCGATTTGAAAACCTTCTAATTTGGTTCACCATTTGCGAATTAACACAATATTTGGTTATGATGTGAAAATGCAAATGAAAACATAGGACAAATAAAAATCAAATAAAACAAAAGAAATTTTTAGTACCACTTAACCAAAAAGCAGAATAAATATTTGCGAAAGGAAAAGATCCTACCCAACATGGTATCTACCCTAACATGCTTTTATAGTAGTTCTATTGAGACATGTTTTCTACCCCATGATTTATTTAACATATAAATCCTAACCTCATGCCATCTAATTCGCACATTTCTTTTAAAAAAATGAACCTAACCGCATACTCTTCTATTTCTCATTTTTTTTGCAAAATAAATAAATAAATTTGAGGAAAAGGTTAGAGTGAGTTTTCCCTTTGTGACTTTTGAAGAACCATAGACCTAATTTCGGTACAAAACAAATTAAGTTCTGGTAATACTAAAAGGGTCATCCAATTGTCCTTTGTTGGTGCCCCATTGGGCCTGCCAAGCCCTCAATCCTCACCCATTATAGGCTTAAACGGATCAACTTCAATTCGAGAGGATGCACTTCCCTATGTCCATGCGAGGAAACTCAATGTTTCGCTCGTAAACACAAGGCATATGTACCCAAGAGGTTAGTTGCTAAAGCCCCTGCGGAGAAAAATAATTTTTCTCACGTAAGCATAGCGTTCACCCCTACCCAACGGGATAGAGCATAGTTAGAAGACTCTTAATACCCGAATGGTTATAGCGCGAGTGGAGGGAAATTCACAATCCTTTTCCTCGATCAAAAAACAAGCAAACTTAAAAATATGTCAGAAATTTGAAACAATGGAAATCACACATTAGTACCACTAATAAATAAATAAAAGATGTATGACACAATGCAAACAAAACATGTGGATCAAAATTTAAATATCATTCAAATTTACAATTTTCAACTAAAAAGAGGATGTATAATTGATTACGACATGACTCCCTAATGTCCTCAGTGGAGTCGCCAAGCTGTCGGAACGATCCTTAAGCTTTTTAGGGCTATGGCGAGGATCGATCCAACTTAATTTTGGAAACAATTGGTTTTTTTAAGTAAATACATAAATAAAAAAATTTGGAGTCGTTATCGACCTTTGGGTTAGGTAGGTCGAATACCTAAAAATACCTTTTAAAATAATTTTAAGAAAAATAATTTTAAAAGATAAAAAATGATATGCGTTTAACCAGAATTTCATTTTGAAAAGGGTTCGGGAGTCGATTACGTGTAGGGAAGGATTAGCATTCCCATAACGCTCGAAATCGGTATCTAAGCGATTATACATCATCTAAATATTGAAATTGGCAAATTTGATTAACATTTAAATTATGATCATTTTTTAGAAAAATATCAGGCGTATTATTTTTTGCGAACAATTCTCGAAAAAATGTCTTCCTTGTCAGTTAAGGGGCATTTCCACGAATTCCCCATATAAAATAATATTGCCCAGGTTTTTAGATAAAATACATACATTAAATATATTAAAACAAAAATTCATTTGAAAATAAAATATATTATTTTGTTCGAACAATTCTTGGAAACACATTCCTTGTTAGTTAAGGCGAGTTTCTATAAATTCCTCGAGTAAAATAACATTTGAAAATATTACAATTAGCAACAAATTAACAAAAATGTAAATGATGGATCAAAATAATAAAGCTGGTGACTTTAGGGATTAAATAATAAAACCATCAAGAAATAAAGGCAACCATTGAAAATATTTCACAATCCAAGCACTACAATCGTAAATACACCATCTTTAATCATTCAAGACCAAAATGGAAATTACTAAAGTAAGGCACTCAAATTAAAATATTTCTAAAAAATAAGACTACAAGTGAAATGGGACTAAAATGAAATAAAAATA